GTGTGTATGCATGCATCTCACATTAGAGGTTTCACCGAATAAACCAAAAAGCATTCATTTGCAAAGCAGTATTAGTAAGATAAGGGAAGTATATATTGGAAAACAGTGAAAAAAAAGGGCCATTTTTGTAACTGTCCTGAGTGCTCCTTTACATGCAGACGTATGACCCTCCCCGGTATTGCCCAGCCTGGCAGAATTTACTGGGGATGCAAAGTCCAACATTTGGTATGGATGAATTCCACTGTCCTCCAGGTAACAGTTGTCCCTGCAAACATTCTACCTTGAACCCCAGATGACCTTTTACTATTGCTGGAGCACCATTTCAGCCACAGACACTCTTCAGTATCAGTGGGGAAGCAAAGGCTGTATCTCCTGGCAGGGAGTTCATGGAAATTAGTCCAAGATTCACTGAAAATGGAGGGCAGAATCATGGAAAAGCTAAATATAAATCAGTGCAACTTATTAGGACATGACTGGTGGGATATAATAATCTATTATGAGTATTTTAATGTATGAAAACAAATTACAGCATTAAGCCCAGTACAAATTGTTACAGGAGGGAGTAGCAAAGTAGGGGTGATAAAATACAAGCTGAACCTTATATGAGGCTGAACCTTATATAGAAGGAATTCCCAGAAGTGGATATCCCAAAACTCCAATGGATATCCCACTCCCAGGGAGATCTAAAGACATATAGATATATACATGCATATATTATACATCTATTTATACACACGTGTAATTAGACAGGTGTGGTGTGTGTGTATAGCTATGCATGTGTAATACAAAATAAAGCTTGCAATGTGCCTGCAATTTGAAAGCTAGAAGGAATATAAAAAAAAAATAGAGCTCAAATCATCAACCCTTTCTGACAACTAAAATCTCATTTGCAACTCACACACCTTTAAGCTCTGGATTTCTTTTGCTTTGCTCCCAGCACTCAGTGCCACACACAGCATCTGACATCTGGAACAGCTGAGACACTTCAGCACAGAAGATCAAACACTTCAAAGAGTCTCAGAGTGGTTTGGGAAAGGGAAAACCCAGTTGTTCTCAGAGTCAGGTAAGGCAATGTACTGCAAGTGATGTGTGGTGCCCACAGTAAAAATAAACTAATGAATGCAGGCAATGGAACTGAAATTTCAGGCAGGTTCTTACCCTTGATGGCCCAATGGTGTATGGACAGATGCATTACCAGGGCATAGCTGATGAGATGACAATTGTGCAAATGCCTGCAAACACGTTTCTGTTTTCACCTGGTACTTTTAATATTCCACATACAGGGAAAAGGTGATGAAATAACATTTTTAACTCTGTAATTAGCACTGCAATAATGTTTAAATTGGTTAATAATATTAAAGAGGAGCTCTAATTTAATTATAGAGACACAAACCCAGATATTTCTCAACGAGGATGGCTTCCCACCAATTGTATTTAATATAATTTTGCCTTCATTTATCATGTAGATAATGGTCACTGCATGTTTATGAAATTGCCCTGGATACCTTCAGAAGAGACAGAAAAACATCACAATTTGTGGTCTGGAGAGAAAATAGAAATGAATGCTTCCCCCTCTGCCCTTGCTAGTTCCTTAAAAATCAATTTTAATATAATTTGAAAAGTCCTGATTTTGGTACAGTTATTCCATTCCATTTGGTTTCGTTTCTGCTTTTAAAATAGAGGTTTCTGGGGACCTTGCATTAACTCCACAGATTACAGGTGGCATTGAACAGAGGTGTAAGTTATGAAGCAAATATAAAGAAGCATCCATTTCCATGTATGATTAAATGCTGACTCAAGGTAGTGCAATATTTTTGATCCCATAAGTTTAATAAAATTCAGGACAGGCAATAGGGAGTCGCAGACAAATTAAAATTTATTGAGACAGACAAAAATGCAACTATTTCAGACTACAGTTAAGCATTTACAGTTAACCAAAGGTAGCAAAATGCTCACATTCCACTTAACTCCTTATGGAAAAAAGCATTCAGAATTTACTACGCAGTTCTACTACTATGATAGTCTACATCCATCTACAGTAGGGACATCGAACTGAAACACGTAATATTTGGATCTCTCCTTACAGATCTACACATTGAACAGTAACAGACATCAACAGCATTGAGAAAAGTATAAAAAGACCAAAACCCACCTACTGTAGAAAGGGATTTTTGATGTGTAGTAACTGTACAAAGCAGTCTGTGGATGAAAGGATGGGACACAGGAGGGACTGCGAGAGAAGCCAACAAACGGAGGAAGCGAAGCTGGAGCGACCTGGTGGTCGGGGTCAGGTGCTGACCTTAAATCTACGTCAGTTGCTGCTTGAGGGAGAAAAGGCTACAAAACTCCTAATATCAAAATATTCCCATGCCAGAAATGTACACTGAGACTAACAGACTAGGCTGGAGAGGCAAAGAGAAGCATTCACTAACAAACAGTGTTGTTTTAAATATAAACTTTACATTTTCAATATAAACTGTAGAATAAATATTAAATTAACACTTCAAATGGTTTAAAATGATAGTACAGAATAGCTTAAAAAAAGGCAAAGAAAATAAAGAGGATTCTTTTGTTCACAGCAAAGGCCAGTAATGACCCAAAAAACCCAGCGGTGCTGAAATCTGAACTCAACATTTTGATTTAATTACATAGTTGAAAACAACATAAAGCAATGCCTAACAGTATCTCATAGACTGTAATATGAAAAGAAAATGAAATTAAAAATTGGTTTGCATTTCTAAAAGGATGGGACAACTCTGATTCCACTTGGTTTGTGTCTCTAAAAGAATGGGCCAACTTAAATTCCATTTTTCACAATGAGAAAATATTTGGAAGGTCAATTACTTGATTCAGATGGGAAGTAGGAAGTAAGTCCTGCTTTGTAAAAAAAAAAAAAAAAGGAAAAAAGAAAGAGAAAAAGAAAGGAATTGAATTAAATTAAATTGGAAGCAAATCAAATCCTTTACAAAGCATGAAGAATGGAAGGGGCTTGATCTGGAAGAGCACTAGTTCTTGGTAGAATCGCTGGTTTCTTTATCACTATTTCATTAAATAGAAGATTTTCGTAATGCATCTCCTCAGACTGAACACACACATACATATGCACACACATATTTGTGCATAAATGTATATATACAGTCACACAGAGATACACATATGTGTATATACATATAGGCTGCAGATCCCCCACCATGGGAGATTGCCAGTGGATCACAAAAGGGCTTTGTTAAATAGCTGTGCAGGATTTAGGAACTTGCTCTCAAAGCAATCCAGAGTCCGAGTGCACTTCCAAGCAGGACAGCCTGTGTGCCCTGCTCCTGCCTGGCTGGGACCCCTGGCACTGGGCACTGATGCCCTGCAGTGCCCCCAGCTGCCCCATCCCATAAAATGGCACATTTCCCATGCTGGCTGGAGTCAGAAGAACACTTGCATAAGTCAAACAGGTAACTGAAGGGTCACCTGGAGAGGGGGTCTGCCTGGATCCAGGCCAGCAGGCTTAGCACAGCTGGGTGTATTTGTGTGTGCTTCTGGGGGCAGGGGGATGTGCTGCGAGAGCCCATCCGAGCCAGCCAAGGCACCTGCCCTCTCCAGGCTGTGCTGGGCATGGAGCTGCTTCACTGGGGCCCACCTCATCTTTGAGCTGGAGAGTCTGGGAGACAGTAACTGCTTTACAGGTAGACAGAAACCCTTCCAGCTCTGATTTGGAAGCATCACATGTGAAAGATCACAGCCAGGATACCACCAGTGGGTGGTGCTGCCACATCTGCACATGTAAACTCAAAGATGTTCACATTCACTTTTAAAGGCTTATTGAACAGCTTTAATTTAATCATCTTGCATGTTTACAGGGGACACAGCCTCCTGCAGCCTCAGACCTGGTACTGCCTGCAAGGGCTTAGACTGACAGACTTTACCCTGGGGAGGTGCTGGGCAGGAGAAGGGATTTGCTCTGTGACCTTTGATGTAAGGCACAGCCCAGGATAAGCCATTGTGGAGGGACACAGGATTGCCAAAAACCCTCTAGCTCTGTGTGGAGAACGAGTCCAGTCAGGAGGATAAGCATAATCTCCTGATTGTGGAGCTCAGATTTATGTCAGAATGAAATGGCAGCTCTGTGCCTCAGGCAGGTCTTGCACAGGACAGCAGAGCCAGACCCAGAGAGTGTGGGGTTAATTAAGAAAATACCAGAGGAAAACTAGACTGGACATCTGAGAAGGAACCTACTGACAGTGTTCAATTGCTTCTCATCAAATCATACGTAGGGAGACAGAAATGCTGGATTATCTGCTCCTCCTGCAAGCTGGCAGGATTTCTGTGAAAGGCAAATAGAAAAAATGCGTGTGTGTGTGTGTGTGTGTGTCTGTGTGTGGTGCAGCTCATGGAAAATGATTATTAAATATATTTTTCTAAAGCTATGGGAAAACCAAAGGGATTTATTTGAGGCAGGGCAGATTGCAGGCCTTTTGGAAATGACTGTGATGGCAGATTTTTGGGAGGATGCAGGGGCGTGAAACAACAAATTCCTCATGGTTTTACACATCCTTCTGCATTAATAATGATTATGCAGGCTTGGTCTTTATTTTCAGGTCATTGATCTCGATAAATAGGAAATAAAAGAGGAGAAAACAGGAGAGCCCCTGCTGCATATGATACCTGCAAGAATTCCATTTCTGATCACATCTGAAAGCAGAGGTCCTACCAGAGGGCTGCCAGGCGGGCACTGGCTTTGGAGAGGGCTGAGAGCCAACATCCCCAGGCCAATGTACCTAAAAAACTGACTTCTGCCAACCTGTGTGGTATTCTCCAGCTTCAATTGACTACGAATGCAATCATGTTGTGATTCAATGCTGTCTCCACCTCTATATCCACCATTAACTCAGAAAAGAAATCTAATTAGTTTTTGTTATTAAAAACATGTTTTTCATTCTGCAAAATAACTCACCGGCCACAGGCACTGCTAAAATACTTACACCTGCATCTTAATGCAAGAGTGGGGTTCAAGTCCCTCCTACTCCTTCACAAAACAGCAAAAATAATAACACAGCACATTACTGCATCAGAGAACTGCCACAGGAAAGGACACTGCAAATAATGTCATGTCAATATCCTCTGATACAAGAGCTTTGAAAATACAGGAGGTATCAAGGGAATCACAGATTGGATTTTAATACTACTCTTTTTTAGGAGTGTGTATTACAAGTGTGCAGCATCACACTGGGCCAAGGGGTTATGCTTTTGAAATATCACCACCTAAAGCTGCTTTTTTAAACAGGTACCTTTACATTAAGTAAGTGACAGTTACTTTTGAGGGTTTGTGTCTTTGACAGCATTCTAACTTTGGAAGGAGAGTTGCTAAATGGAGAACAGACAGGTCTGTGGTGTGTGAGCTGGAAGCAGAGGCTGTCTGTGTGCTGTTAGAGACCATCCTAGTGCAAAAGAGCTCAGACAGAAGCTGAGGAACAGCTCTGTGGGTGGTTATGATGCTACAAATTCACAAAATATTCTCTCCTTAAACACTCTGAAAGGCAGATGGACTCTGTCCCCTGCCTCTAGGGCCTGGTCCATGACAGCAGGTTCTTAGCATCTCTTAAGATCAAGGCCATGTTCCTTTATCAAATAAAGAGTGACAGTGAGTTGATCTGTGCCTGGTGGGAGTTTTGCCTTCGGTGTGAGCTGGACTAAGTCTGTTGGACTCATTCTCAGAGAATGGAAGGAAGGGAAAGTCCTGCCAGTGGGTTTTCTTCTGGATTAAACCCCTGGTACTGGGCAGCCACTGTCCAAAGAAACTTACTCTTCACTGGGACATTATAAATATGGACTAGAAAATGAGGCACCTATTTTCCTTCTTAATGAAAGAAAAAAACTTTTTCTGATATGATCCAGATAACAATTTATGACACAAATTCTCTGACATGAGAGGGGCTTCTAAGCCTTGATATTGTTTGCTTGAGCCCCTTCCAGGATTCTTTCACAGGATAGATTTCCTAAGTGGTGCAAGTGAGGATTAAGACACGAAATGGTCTTGAAACAAAACTCATTGCCCCTGTGGATAGAACAAAAATCCCCCAAACCAACTGAACAAAAGCTGTATTCCAAACAGTCCTTGCTGGAAAAAAAAAAAAAAAAAGAGTTGTCATTCAAATTAAATTGACTATACAAAATTAAACTCAGTAGAGAGGGAATATTTGTGCCAGGTACTCTCAGATACAATTGCAGAGATATGATGTGAGTTGCAATATTGTGCAAAACGTGAGTCCTCATTATGATGGGCACTACCATATATAACCAATTTCATCATCCTTATCATCATCTTCATCTTCATCATCTTCATTAGCTGCTCTTACATGAATCTTCAGTTTCCCTTCTTTGTCTTTTTTTGTTGCTTCAGGTTCCTCTTCCAAATCATCCAACAATACAACAGATCCACCACTGCCAAAATCTCCTGAAGTTTCTTGCTCTTCTTCTGAAACAAGTGAGCAGGAAAGGTCATATCTTCACAGAACACCAAATTCCACATTAATCACTATCCTTGTCATGCAAGCCACTGCTATTCACTGCTATTCACGAAACAACCTTAAAATTTAAATTTTCATTCTGAACTGGGATAAATAGATACCAATTCACTCTGAAAAGTATTCTTGCATAAAATACCCCTAATGCATTGTCCTCCTCCTAGAGGCTTGACTGGAGAGTTCTAGACCATGTGCATGCAGGCCAGAATATCATTATTCCTTTGTGAGTACTTTCATTCCAGCACAGATCTGTAAACCGGGCTAAAAAAATCCAAAAAATGGTTTTATTTGAGTGCATAAACCTCACTCTGCAAATGCAGTTACTGGACCCAAGATCTGTGATGTGATTCTGGGCATCCTGGACCTTCTAGGTCTCTGTTCCTTCTCGAAAAAGAAAGCTGCACTCACAGCCATCCCTGAAGCACTCTGAAGGATTGTACGTGACATCTTCCTTGTCTAGGCACAACAGCTAATTGGTGATTTCACTTACCTACATAATATTGTCCTGTCAGCAATTTATTTGGCTTGACAATTTTACACATTTAGGCCTTCCCTGGGCTGGAAAGGCATGATACATGAAGTTCCAGTAGATGTGCATTCCAGAGCATACACAACAATATATTTAATAACCATGCTGAGCAACCCCACACCCTTAATTTTAATATCACTAACTGCACTTCGCAGGCTGGTAGCAAAAATGACTTAACAGTGGTTATTGCCTGCTAACCTGTGCTGCCCCCCTGCTGTCCAAAGGACCCAGGAGGGGCCCATTTGTAGTGCAAATAGGAAAACAGAGGAGTACTCTGAACTGTGATACTCATGTTTCCCTGTTGTCCCTTTCGTTATCATACTCAGTGGTACAGCAATGGCAGGGCTTACAGCACTGTTAATTCCCCTGTTGTCTGAGGAAAGCAGATCATTACTCACCACAGCTGACTGTGCCTTGCTTTCTGGAGCCAGCAATCTCATTCCCGTACTTATCCACACACCAGCACTGGCCCGTGCTGCCATGGCACTGCGTGGCTTTGTAATAACCTTCCTCATTGCACCGGGGGATGAAAGCACCTGAATAAAATATAAGGTGTGCTCAGTAATGCAATCCTCGGCAGGAGCAAACACACAGAGAGGGTATTATGAACTTAGCACTTATATACATGAAGATCTTGACAAAGTTGGCAAGGAAATACATGTGATTATCAGGAGCCTGAAAGGGGAAAAAATTTCTGGTTAACTCTTTTCAGACACCCTGGTCACAGTGTACAAATGTTTGTTCATATCCAGCACACGGAGGAGGGTGTCACACAGTCCTAGAGACAGGTTCAGCCTGTCCCTGAATGATTGATATTCCCACAGAACCTTTTCCCATTTAACTCCTGGTTTTAAACTTTTCTTCCCAACTGGATTATTACCCCAACTTCATTAGTTCTGCATTTCCCTCCATTTGCACTCCTTCCGTGTTTATCACATGAGTCTTTCCACAACACTGTAATTATCCCTGGAAGGTATCTGCCATCTGCTTGCTATTCATACTAATCTCAGGAACATCCCCTGACTTACTGAGAGTTCCCATGCATAAAAGAAGAAATAATGTACAGGCTTTACAGAGAGGGACAACAGGATCTGAGTCAGTAAGTCTATGGATTTGAAGCCCAAGTTTTGTCTCACAATAAAACCAATATATTTCAGCCTTGTAGAGTGTGGTTCATTCTGGCTTCTGCAGAGAGGGAAACTCTCAGGAGAAGCTTACGTTATTGTTCCCACCATTTTCAGCAGATACAGCAAATGTACTTCAATATGAAAAGCCCTCTTGTCCTTCGAGATGAGTTAGCTTTATTCCCACTGGAGGTCAGTACATTCATTTTTCCTGTCTTTGTCAATTGCTTCAATTTGAAACATGGCATAAACACACCCTTGCCCCCAAATTTCTTGTCTCAAACGATTTTTGAGAAAGTGCTTTTCTCCTTTGTCAAAGACACCAGTGATTTACTGGTGGTTCAGTAAAGTTTTTTAACTAGTTCCATGTGTAGCATCTATTCAGACAGCACATGCGTCAAAGGGGCCACTTCCACTACATTTCTCACAGGAAAAAATGAATGAGAAGGTGCTGCCCAAATGTCACCAGATTTCCTATATAAAAGACATAGAAGTGGAAGTGAGTGACAGTCTCATGCACACAGAGAACTACACAAAGTGAATCTGAATATCCAAACTCATTGCTCTGCAGTTCTTGTCTAATGTTTGAGTGCTGCTAATACAGGTCTGTGAGATGAGAAGAGAAACCTCTGAACATCTGCAGAAATCTTTGTATATCAGATCAGTTTTGGAGATCACATCCATGAGTGAGAATATTTTAAATAATGTCAAAGCATGATCTTATAGCAGGTTTGCTAATAGGTACCACCATTATGCTCATGTAAATGTAAGCATGCTAGCAACTATCAAAACCTCATTTTTACTATTTATAAGATAGTAGTTTTAATAACAAATGTATGTATTTGCCTTGGCAGGTTTTTGTAAGTTAATACTCAGTGTTCAAAACTCCATTTCAATATTGATTAGGAAATGTATTTTTTCATATTTATGTTCATGTCCTGTCTCTGATAAGCACTGCAGATATTTATCAAACCATACACAACCTTAGGAAAAGTGCTCAGGTGCTGACTTGGAGCTGGTGTAAATCAGCATAGGTGTACCCTTGTCACTAGAGCTGCCATTTTATATCTGATGAGCATCTGGCTCCAGGAAGGATCAAAGGGGGAACCTCAGGGGCATTACAGGGTGAGCAGAGAACAGCTTCTGCATTTTAAAGTGTCTCATGCTTTCTCTTTTCCTAGGGCAACGCAACCTTTTCCTTCTTTGAAACAGGCTTTTTTGCATAGTTTCACTGTTTTTTTGTAAGGCATGAAAATGTTCCATGCTGCCTATAAAAGCCTTAAAAGATTTAAAAATAAATTATGGCCTAGGCTCACTGCCAACATAACTGTGTGTGGAATAGATTCACACTTTGGGTCACAGTGAAGAGTGGAAGGTACTTTTCCTTCTGCACGGGAAATTTGTGCCAATTTGTATGTAACACCAGAGCTTTAAATATTTAGCTATGCATACTAATGTCACAGTATTTGCCAACCATCAGAGGGAAGATGCAGCATGTCCTCTCCAATGTGTGCAGGTGATAATCTGGAGAGGATAGAGTCACGGGGAACAAGTGTTGTACAATGTGATGATTCTCCCTGTGAATTGTACACAAATCAGCCTGTCTTCATTAGAAATAAGCTGGCTACAAGCTCTGCTATCCTGGAGCATGGCACCTAGACATACCATTTTCTGGGTTTGGCATCAGGGAACATCTGGAGCTTTCCTCTTCAGAGGTTCTTGCACAGGCAGTGCTTCCCCACAAGCCTGGACACCACAAAATGAATTGCTCCTAAAAAACTTCCTCAAGCTACTGAATCCTGCCTCCCCTCTCCCTTTGTCCTGGGAAGGGTTTAGTTATTTCACACAAACTTGAACAGCACTGTTGCATGTGTTTCTTCTTTATGAGCCCAGAGGTATACCTCCTTTTTTTTTCCTTTTTTTTTTTTTTTTGCATTATTTCCTTATCTATATAATACTCCCCTTCCTTAGAGAACAGGAGGAGAATAATTATATGCTAAAGATAGTGAAGCACACAGGTAAAAGTCTGTCAGAATTAAGTGCTAGCCAGCACACAGCTCCTGGTATTAGCTATTATATTAGCTGAATCCACAGGGTTGATACAGGAGAAAACAGTGATGGGAGCAGAAATTTATTACTTTAGTGGTGTGGGAGAAGCATTATCAGCCTGCACAGTTGTATGCTTTAAAAGTACAGTCTCTGCAGTTAATTGTACTCCAGATAAATCTGGTAGGAAAAGATGAATAGTGCTGTTTACTTTTTAATTCAGTCTCCTGGGATGCTAGACTTCATTTGAAAGCCTCCAAATTCAACATATCTAATGGCAATGGCTTTGAAGTACTTTGTTGCAACTGTCATGTGTTTTGAAAAATATATAAAGAAGGAAATATCAAAAGTCATCATTTTTATCAATGGATACAAGTTAGCAAAAACATTCTTCATGCTACTGCCCAGACTGTAAGTGCTGTGCCTCTCTATGTCAGGGTCAGAGGAGAAAAGAGAATAATTAAAGATTAGTTTCTCTGAAAATATTCATCTCTCCTTTCCAACCTTACTGCTGGTACAAGTCACGTGTATGTTTGGGCTTCCATTTGAATGATTTTTCAGTCAGTGAAGAGAAAAGATAATGTTTTCTGCTGTATAAATAGCTCTGATATCAAATTAAAATCTCCCAGACAGGTGTCATTATGCAGGAAGACTTTCAGGGTAGGTGAAGCAAAGAGTTTCTCTTTATATTATAATTTTCTAGCATGTGGAACAACCTGTGCCTGACACCTTGATTTGTTGAGCTTCACCACTTTCATTCTTCTATTTTTTTTTTATTAATACAGTTGACTAGAAGTTATCTGTGCTAAGGGACCATTCTTACTGCTTTTACTTTGTCATTTTACTCCTGCTACTGTGATCAGATCCCACTGACATGTGCTACAACCACCTGCATGTTGAACTACCTGCAACCCAGGCATCATTCTTCCCACACACCAGAATAAACTACTTATGTTTCAACCTAGATGACATTTATTGCACATAGAAAATAACAGCAAACCATAAAATAAATATGAGATAGTCAAAGCTATCTATTAAGAACTGGGCTTCTTAGTCTTTTAGGTGGCTTTGAAAATCATGACACCCATGAGACAGAGAACACTGTGACTTCCTCTGCCACAACACTCCCTTGAACACAAATGCAGAATATTTGCTGAATGGCATACACACACCCCAAGTGATCAATCCTCCCTTTGCTCACACAGCTATGAACAGCAGGAGCTGTAACTCTGAAACACCTTAATCTTCATGTGAACTTGCTATGAAAGGATGATGGATCTAAACCACAGTCCCTGCGGCCTTCAGGAATGTTTATTCTTAATTTGAACCAGTGAATCCAGGTTGGGATTGTTCACAAGGCACCTGAACCTTGAGTCCAAATGGCAGTGGAATCTGGGAATGGCAGGATTTGGCAGAGCTGAGATGTTTGCAGGGTCTGCTGTTGAGTATGGACGAACACCAGGCTGGAATGTGGGAGGCACCATGCAGCACACCCTGTGCTGGCATTCTCCAGGATGGGGCTGACAGCTGGTGCTGAGGTCAGCCACTCTCCTCAAGGGTGAAGTGCAGGGATTGCTGTTAATGGGGGCCTTCATCTGTCCTGCTGTGCCTCAGGGGTTGGACTCTGTGTGCACAAATGTGCTGGGACACAAGTTTCAATATGACACCAGCACACTAATGCTAGGCTACACATCACTGGGTAATTTTAGGGTAGGGAATTAGTCACCTGAAATGTTTTCAGTTCAGCAACTTGATATTTTAGCAATTAATTGGAAAAATGCCAGATGGGGATTTATTTAACCTAATTTTAGATATCCATCAGAGCAATGTAAGTCATGAATCAATTCAGGCTCCCAATAGGCACAAGAGAGAGGGACAGGCATGACCACATCTTACAGCATGAAGCATCCTGCAGGCTGCCTAAAATGAGGTGATATGAATTCCTGTTTTCATATACACAGAATATACTGAAATATTTTAAAGAGTGATTAGGCAAAATTGAACCCCAAGGAAAGCCTGCATTGCACCATAACTGGAAGGGAACATGAACACATTGGCTGTGCACCTTCAGTCACCCTTCACAAATGGGAGCCTTCAGTACCAAGCAGCCTCCCAGTGCTTACTGTGACCTGTGAGGTGATGAAGGCAGTATTATGCTCTGTGCAGACACGGCTTTGCATTTCTGGAGAGCTGTAAATTAGTTCTGAACGCGTTGCCACACTGACACCTGTTCTGTGTGTTGCTATCTCATTATTTGTTTAATTTCATAGTGTCAGGCCTACGCTGAATGCTGCATATTCCCGACTCAAAACATTAGTCTCTAATTGAAAAACCATTACTGCATATAAAGTTACAATAATCACAGAAGCTTTAATTAGTTGAGCAAATGAATAGCAAGTAATCGAACTTACCCAACAGACTCTTCCCTCTACTTAGCTTTTGAATTCTATTCATTTCATTCTGGCAAGGAAGACCTAAAATATAATGTATAAGAATCAGTTTCCAGATGGTACGGGACAGACTCTGTAATGACTGGCTTCACTGCTGACATGAAATGTAGGCTACTGTACACCTGGGACTGAGAGAAGCCCATATGCTGGTACTGTACCACAAAACAAATTTATGTCATTAGCTCCACTAATTAAAAAAAAAAAAAAAAAAAAAAAAGTCAACACATTGTAGTTGAGAGTAGTGCTTGGGGGCCATTTTAATTGTTAAACCATTCTACCTCTCTTTTCATCAAACTGACATCATGCCAGCTCTCTCTGATTTATGACTTGCTAATTGGCTAAGTTCTGCATTAATAAAAGAGTAAATTCTTGAGCTTTCTGTCAACAATAGAGCTTATTTCTAGAGTGTGCACTGACACTTACTACTTTGCTTGCTTTAATGATCAAGGGATATTAATATAGTTCATCTGTGACAATAAACATAGTTCCACAATGCCCTTCACGCTGGTGCTGGGGAAAAGGGCTTTTTAACACACCTGCCTGCCAATGAGCAAACTCTACAGGCAGGCCCTGAAACACAGAGAGAGCCAAAACAGCTCCTCTTTGTATCAAATTGCACAGCTCACCACCGGGCTTCTGGAAGCAGTAGCACCACTCGTTGTTGGAAAGCTTCCCATCTTTGAAGGAGTCGCAGGAGTTGAAGAGTGGCTTGACACACGGCTCGTACTTATCCAGATAAATGGCACTGATCTCCGAGGGATCCAGCAGCAGGTCATAGTTCATGTCAAGTTTGTTGAACATCCAGCCTAAGGAATCCTTACAGATTGGTAGGATGCTGGTGTCAAATCCTGTAAGAAGACAGGCAAATATTCCCCAGCTGAACCCCAGCATGGCCCCGGCACTGGAACCACTGCTAAGGTGAAGCCTTGCCAACTTTTCTTTTTTTTGGCTGGACTCTGAACATTAAACTGCCTTGCCCAAAGCAGAATAAAATCCTAAGACTGAACTGATTGTGTAAAGCTTAATGCCCAAGCACAGCTACAAACTACTGCACTATTCACACTGTGGGCGCTGTGAGGTGGAGAGTGCTGAGATTCAGAACTCGTTTCTGTAATTCAAAGTTCTGTCTACTCAAAAAATTCTTGCTCTTTTTTTTTTTTCTTCAGTCCTCAGTCCAAGTGTCTTGGCCTGGTTCCAGGAAACTGAAATGTGATAAGAAAAGGATGCAACCACCACATTTTCAAACTAGACTGAATCTGAATGCAATTTAAATCTTGTTTCCCAGACTAACTTCTAGTTGCCTGATCACATTCTTTCCTGCTGTGCTCTCATCTTCTACCACTCATCCTTGCCTTTCAATTTTCAAAGACCCTTCTGTGGTTTGTGACAACAAACTGCTTTGATCTGGACCGTGAGCTGTCTGGGGAGGCAGGGGGAGAGAAAAGGTGAAGTGTCTCTGTTTCTTACACCACTCTGAGGGAGGGCACTGCTTCAGCTGGAGCTGCACAGAGCCGCCCATGCTCTTGTATGCTGTACCAGCACCACTTCTTCCTGCAGCCTCCAGGATTCTGCAGCAATACAGGATTCTGCTTTTCCAGCGCTTTGGAAACCATCACCATCATTCATTTTAATAGCCCAGATTCTTCAAAGACTGCTGCAGCAGCAGTGGTTATCACAGAAAGCCCAAGTCATGCATATAGATACCCACTGTGTATATGAGATACACATTCCAGTATCCTGCAGTCTCCAGACAAACAGTGGCATGGGGCACTATAAATCAACACTGTCATGGTATTTTTTCAATGCTTAGACTAAATTCCAAGTGATCTACAATATAAGGAACTATATTTGTAATATAGAGATAATAAATCTGATAACAAGGGTATTGGTTTCCACCAGGACTTAGAAAAATTAATCCATTGTTTCAGGATTTGCAGAGAAAGAGGGATCCTGATACCCCCAGCCTCTGGTGCTCACACTGCTCCAGCTGTGAGCAATAACCTGCCTGTGCACTGCTCACTCTGCTTTGGGCCGCACAGAGAAGCCTGATGAGCTTTTTCCTTTGGCTGCAACTTTCACTGAAAGAGGTTTAGCTTAGCTTTATCTGCTGTATGTCCCCCTTTCAGGATGCTGCTTTGTTGAAGTGAAAGCTGAGATGTTGCTGGAATCATGCTGACAGTTTGTCCAAGCTCTGCACCCTACTTGCTATTTTAGGCATTAATCCAAAGGAGAGCAGGGCTTTTTGCTGGAAGCTGTGTTTTGGTATGCAGCTGTGGCTGAAGGTTGTCAGTGACACAGAGGGACAATCAGAAGGGTTAACTAATGGGAAGGTTTGTGCCATTCATAATACATGTTTCTCTAAGGAAGGAAAAAGGTAACGCCATTTCCTCAGGGCTAGGGGCAGCTCAGGCAGGGAAGAGAGAAATCATACTGAACATTTCATCACATTTTTATGCTCTTATCTCCCATAACATTATCTAATCATGTTTGAGCACATTGAAAAAGAATAAGGCTGTGTGAATAGATGTAGGGAGGAGCTGCCTGCCTTGCTGAAGCAATTAGAAATATTGACTTCAATTATTTAAGTCATCTGAAGAAGGCAAGCAGGATTTGGTCATTGTGCAATCTTTTGTCAAGTGAAAGGATTGAAGATTTCTCATCTTTGCCTTTATAAAGCAACAGGAGCAGAGCACACAGTCCTGCCCTGTGCAGGTGTATAGTGCCAGATTCCCCACCCCAGGGCAGGTTAAAATCAGTCAATCAGGCAAGGGTGGGTCATTCAACTGCACAGTGGAGCTGGGATCAGCTCCAGTGATCCCAGTTTAAGAGTTTTCAAGAGAAAAAGAATTAGTTTCCAATGTCTGCTCTTTTTCTGCACAGCTGCTCTCTCTGGCAATGGACTTCGCACGCCGTGGTGGCACTTAGTGCTGCAAAAGATGAGTAACTGCAAGGTGTGTTGTATGATCAGTGAGTATGGAATGTGCTGCTCAGCCCTGATAGGCCTCTAAAGGTCATCTCTTAACTGGCAGGGATCAACGCAGGGAGGAGGAGATCCTGGAATGAACTTGCCCCTGACAGTGCCTATAGATTATTTCTGAGTCTTGTTTTCCTCCCTGTTGGGAAATCTCCACCTGTGTGTACAATTGGGATACAACACCAGCCTGCCCTCAGCGTGGCTCTGCCTGAGCAAATCACCAGTAGTGACTGCTGGGAGTACAAAGCTGCTCTGTGACAGACAGTTAATTACATTAGGTGAAGAGGTTTTGATTATCATTTCTTATAAACAACGGAGCTTTCACTGTTGTGACCAGAGTTCCAGATTAGATTTATTAAGTATTATGTATTTATTATTTATATATCTTAATAAATCTATTTATAATATATATTATATATATTATAAAATATATTTATATTAATAAATCTTATTTATTTATTGTTAGATTTATTAAGTATTAGAGTCACTAAACAGTGCTGTCTTATCAGACAATGTGGTCTGGAAGTCCTGAAATATTGAAGTGGTAGGTGTGACTGAAAGTCCTCAGCTAGATGGTTATTTTCAGTGGAAAGTTAATTCTTTAATTAACAATATGTCGTTGAAGGTAAATAGTAGCTCCCTGTCATATTGTGTCCAGGTAAACGGTACTGCCCACAAATGATGTTTGCAACATTGCAGCATCTGCAGCCCAAACCCGACTATCCTGGATGCTCTTAGCACTCAGCACCAAGAGTGAAAGCCAAGTGTCCTCTAAATGCTCAGCACAGGCTCTGACTCACGGCATAAGCGGGGCAGCTGATGGAAAATGGCTTCTGAAGGTCACTTACCTTCACTGGGAGGTCACTGTGCTCCCACCAGCCTGGTGAGGTCAAGTGATATTGAATGAATTAACTTCTTTTTAGAGTATTTTGATATACTTATTTATAAATACGATGCAATTTTCTGGATGAAATAAACCATATACCATAATTCTGTAAAGAATTCAGTGCTTGGTTAACAGGCTGGATTTCCAGCACAACAGACCCAGAATAAGCAACCTCAGTTAGAACTTCTCTCCATCTTTCTGTTCATCAGTGCAGTGCTGCAGTGCCTTTGGTGCCAACACAGATGCCAATTAATGTCAGCTGAGGTGGTGGCTGCTCTCATTTGGACACCTGCTCACAAGGACCTGGACTGAGACCATCTTGTTCCTCTTTCCAACTGACAGCTGTTCAGCATCCTGACAACTTTCATTTACTACAGAGCTGGAAGGAAATCAGGCTGGTGACCTACATACAAAAGTCTCTCATCCCATTAACACACAAAACACTCCACCTTCTCTGAATTAAAATGGAATTAAATTTGGAAAAGTCTTGAGGTGAAAATCCTTATTAAAAATAAACACACCTTCTGGCATGAAAGAATTATTTTCTCCCTTCAAGAGTTGACTTACACAAGTAATTTTTATTTTATTAAAGTATACTACAATTAAATTAACAGGGGTAAAATTAACCTAATTTCCCCCATTGCTTAAAATAAAAGAAGGAGGAGAAGAAATATTCCCTAGAAAAAAAATTCTTTATATTGCATAGATCTCTAGTAAAAGAAAAACAACACCCACTCCAACCAAAGAGACTTTTTGGATACAATACGGGGATGTTATGAATTATCAACAGGCTCAGGAGCAATTTGAATCTGATCTTGTTATATAATTAGTTCCTATTATTTCCCTATGTCAAATCATGTCCCTGAGTTTCTTACATCATTTATGGAGGAGATTTTAATTGCACAAAGCCTTCAGAAGACAAAGTACCTGCCCCACAGTGCTTTGCTGGGAGCCAAGAGCTTGACGAAGAAAGGTTTGAAATCTAAACACAATAATATCCCTCATCCTTTTCCTTTCAAGAGAGTTACAAAGAAAACAAAAAGGAGCTTACTTTTTTCTTCACCTGGGGGTGAACATAATACACTCAAAATGCTTATTTACACTCACACTTACATCTTGAAAATTTAGCAGAATATAGCATAGAGAAATCTCTGCTAGAAGGCCTTCTCTAGACAGCCAGTGTGTGTCCAAGGCATCACAGCCATGGCATCCCACCATCTGTTCTTTTTACTGCCACGGGGCACATCCAAAATGGAATGCTTTGAGGATGTTCGTGCCTTTTCAAACTCTGCAGGCACAACCAAACCAGCTCAGTTTAATGAAGTGATTTGTGTGGTGAGGAGGGCAACACATGCAGAGCCATAAAAAAGGGCAGTGTGTACATCAGAGTGCATTTCCAGAGCTGTGCGTGCCCTGTTTGCCAGGATTCAGATACATTCTTTTCTACAGCTTGGGTATGTGAACTTTGCTTTGAATTCTGAGCCCTCTTTAAGGTGTCTTTCATTTTTACAAATGTTTGAAGTTGGAGAGAGCTCAATACTGCTGTCCTCCCCTGTGAGCATTTTCAGTGCCACCAGAGAGAACGTGAGCTGCAGAATTTGGCACATGCAGATTAATTCATGAATACTGTTGCAAAACCTCAAAAATAAAAACAAGCCCAAGTTTTGTGGCATTCGAAAATGGCTTAGGCATCTAAACTTATAAAGTTTCTTTCTTTTTTTTTTTTTTAACTGAAGAAAATAAGAAATGTGCCAAACTAAGTCAAGAGTCTAAAAAATGAACATTGTTGAGATCAAATGCTGAAGATCATCAGGCAGCCTTTCAAATAAAAGCTGCCAGGAATCAAACTAAACTAAAAAGAGGTAACAACTCCTCTGTGCACCAGAGCAAACAGTGCAGAATTACCAGGAATGTTTTTCTCACTGAAAATGCTTAAGCAAAAAAAAAAAAAAAAAAAAAAAAAAAAAAAAAAGACTCAATACCTTTAGGATTTTATTTGGTCTTTGGCCTCTGGCAAGGTCATCATGAGGATGTCACGAATCATCTGCATGAAAACATCCTTTTGACAATCTGATAAAATGAGATTTCCTGTGATTCTGGGCCTAAAGGACTTCAAACAAAGTTTGAAGCATCTAAGGCTTTCTGTCATGGGATTTGAAATGAATTCACATCTGGAAGCCATGATTAGCTGTACATCCAGTTGCTTTTTGCACTGTGGTTAGGATCCTCTGCATGAGAATATCTTTTTTGGGAGCACTGTTTCAGAAATAAGTAGGACATATGATTTTAAAGATACTGGCTTGGTTGTAAATAATGTGCAAAATAAGGGACATGAAAAAAGATAATTTACACAGAACATGACTTGTTTCACCACAGAGTTGTAAGATATGTGATGAAACTACTGGGTTTGACTATAGTTTGGAGCAATACAGCCTGTGGTATACTGTCTGTTTAGGAAGAAGCAATCTGTTGTTACCCCAGCTTAGATGTAGCATAGGGAGGGGCTGTGAAGACCTGGAATAACAGAAAATGTTCACCTTGATGTACTGTGTCTGCTCTAGTGCCCCTACAGCCTCTGTGGTGTCACTCTATAGGGACACCAGGTGAAAAGAGCCATAAAAGTAGCAGCTGACTGGGCCCTTCAAATTCCGGGTTTGGACCCAAGCTTTAGACAGCTCATCCCAGAGAATCTGTGAAGTGACAGTGAGGCACACACCTAGGAAATACTTGTGCATCCTACTTTTCAGCCCAAGGGCCCATGTGTTCTGGGACATACTGTTTAAAAGAATTAATGAGTCCTACAGAAAGTGAATTCGCATCTGCTCTCTGATGAGCATGACCTCTTTTAACTCTGTTACATGAATCTTTCCCCTCCCTGGTGGCTAAGTGACATCAAAATCAGTCATGTTGGCTTAACCCACAGAGAGTAAATGTCCTCTAGACTGTTCATTTTCTTCCTTTCTTAAAAAAAAACCCAAAAAACCCATCAAAGGATGCAAAGATAGTGTTATTAAATACCTAGGACACAATGGGCTCCAGCTTTCTTGACCATTTAACTCTTCTAGCTCCATAGCTCAGATGTGGATGTTTTAATTATTCTTTCCCTTACATAAAGAGTTGGCAGGAAATTTTAAAGTAAAATCTAACTTCCCAACATTGGTATAACATTCCCTACGCTTTTATGCCTTATTTTAATCTTAAGCCACTGACATTGTGTCAGAAAATACTTGGCCATAAAACCAAACAACCCCAAGAAATTATTTGGATGCAGCCACGTCGAATTGGAGGGTGATGGAATTTAACTGTACAGACACAAACTACACCTTATTAATCAACCCCAGAGCTTGAGAAAAATCCCTGAGTAGTTTCAGCTATTCATACAGAGGTGATCTTCATGGCCTTCAGACAGTTATTTGCCTGATTAACTTGTGAAAATCTCTCTGTCTCTGACAGTTTTTAGAGCAGTTTGGGCCAGAGGGAGGAGAGAAGGACTGCAGCTCCTTCAGAAAACAGCATTTATTTGCAGGATCAGGTCTCAGGTACCGTTTACTCACTGGCACCTGCCTGACAGGATGCTGCAGCCCCAACAGCTGTGCTCAGTTCAGTTCTCCCAGGCTGGGAAGCTCCTAAAACACCCCGTGTTCAATAGCAAAGGAGTTTCTTACTGCCTTGTGCTGTCTCCGAGCTCGTGGGTTTGATGACACGATTCGCATCCTCGTGAAGGGCACCGAACCAGTCCTTTAGCCTCGAAGCCAGATTCCTCAGCTCTTTGTCTGTGCAAGCTAGGAAAGAACAAAACACCAGACTGAGTCAGGAGCACCAGGGAAAAGCCTTTCCCCAGAGAGTCCATTAGAAAAATTGTGTTTATGGTTTTAAAGTTCTCCTCATTAAGAGCTCTGAAGGAAAAAGAGAAGGTCAGGGAAAAGGATGCAAGATAAAAAGAGAATGCAAGTCATTATGAATTATAAGTTGTACTCAAGTACTTCCTTGGAAGCTGACACAATTGGTGATGGAAGAAGTGCCACACAGAGCTCCTCACTGGTTGGCAATTAGAGCTATGTGAGTATTTAATTTAAATGTTTTCGCCTTTTAGGATTTCAGAGAAAGATATAAGTCAAACAGATGGGGAGGAGGAACATCCTTGCCTAGACATGCTACTCGAAAAAGATGCTAGGGATCATTTATAATCACATTTGGCTTAGTATAAGGCTATTACCACCATAATAGAAAATATATATACTTATTTATATACAGAAAAAATTGTTATGTTGTTCTAGTGAACTAGAAGTGAGACTCTACCACCTCTGAAGGTTGTCAATTCCATTTTGTTATCTAGGTAAAACACTTATTTTCATATAAATTTTACTGACAAGTATCTAATTTTCCCAGAAATTTCTGCCAAGAGATTAATGTCCAGTGGAAGCAAATATTTTTAAGGAAGAAAGCTGCATTAGCTAGAAGTTTCTCTCAAAAACAATTTCTTATTTCTGTATCATGTTTAGTGCTTAAAATTCACATGCTCAGGCAATTTTATTATTACTGCTGTGCACTCATTCTACATTTTAAATGACATTTCTTGAAATACAGAGCAAGATTTTATGCCATAGAGGCAGACATCCTTCACAGTCACAATAAGTCTTCTCCATCTCACTGCACATTATAGTATCCCTCCTTCCACCTTACTGAAGAACAATTGAGTCCCACAGCTCTCCCAAGGTAAACTCAAGCTCCAATGACAAGGAACTTGCTGATATGTCACAGCTGTTCTGAAGATTTGTTTGTTCTCACACTTCAGTTTGCGACAGGAATGATTTTAAAGTTAAAAATATAAATTATAGCCTTTTCTAAATTTGAGGAGGGGAGAAAAAGAAAGATTTTCCCTTTTTTTCCTTTGGTAACAATGGAAGAGTTTGATAAATTTTCCTATGCAAGATAAAAATATGAAGATCACTATCACTCTAAAGCTGAGTCCAGGTAAGGAAAAATCAGGTCTTAAAAAAAAAAACCCCATCAATGTAAAATAAATGGAAGACAATGCCAACTGTAAAGTGACCTTTCTGAAAAAGCTTACCATTTTATTTACTCACTTGAATTAATGTTACATCTTACTCACAGTAAACTATCTTATCTTTCCAAGTTGGGTGGAAAAAAAGAAGATTCATTTGTCCAGGAAATGAATAATATAGTTTTATTGTGCAAACCTGATACTTATGAAATAATCACTGTGGCACATGACACCTTTAGGAGGCCAAGACTGGAACTCTGGACTACAAACATGGATTCCTGTGCCTTCCTGACCCCTCACTGTGCCTTCTAGACAGGTGCACTGAGCTTCACAGGCAGTCAAGGCTCAGGAAAAAGAAATAATAATAAAGAAAACACCTTCTAGAGCCATTTTCCTGATTAAGATTTGTGTTCTTCAAGCACAAAGCCCCAGACACCATAGCAGCCCAAAGTATGCCAAATGCTTTGAGGGACACTGGATTTGCTCCCAAACTCACCCTGTAAGGAGGGCAGGAACAAGGAGCCCACTCACCTCCTCTCCCAGCCTCAGCACCCTGCAGGATGCACTCCCCAGGACCTAACAGAGTCTCTAAAATAAATCTCACAAAGTGGTCATTTGCTGTAAACTGCACTGACTGGGGTAATTGGAATCCATGCTTTTAAACTGCAATACAAACCAGGATTGAATGCACTGCAATGGTTAAACAGAAGTAATTAATTAATAGTAAACAGAAGTAATTAATGGTACATCAGACTGGAAACAACTCCTCTGTATAACTGAGCCAATCAAAAATGTCAGGATCTGTAAAATGCCATTTGTAATGAAGCCCTTATAGATTTTCCATGTCTGTAACTTCAGTCATGTTGAGAAACAGCTTTTTTTTGAGGGTAGTGTTTGAGAGCGAACCCTGGGTGAATTTATTGCTCTTGTTTTTGCTGACCAAAAACCCTTTGGATTTCCTTTGGAATTTGATCTGAGGCATGATTGACAGTAAGCCCAGACCTGGAGTTTTCTGCATTCTGGATAGTTTTTCTGTAAATAACTGAGATATTCCTTAAGTATGCTGCTTAAGGATGATTCCAGAGTGAGTTTGATGTTGAGGCTCTCTCTTAGGACTACAGTCTTCCTTCACTAGAATAAATGCTGTTTTATGAGTCAAACAGGAGCCAACTTTGCTATTAATATGGAGCAAATAATAAATTTCTGAACAAGACTTCAAATATTTAATGCAAAGTTCACTTAAATTTCTACTCAAGTACTTAATGCCCTCAATCTTACTTTCTCCTGCACATTAAAATAGAGGAAGTATCCTTTTATTTTACATTTCTTGTATTAAATTTTATTTTCATGCTACCTTGCCTGGTTAAAAATATCCTGCCTTTCTACCCAATGGAACTGCATTCCATTTTTATTTATTTCATTTGAACATTATCAGAGGCATATAATCATTCTGAATTTGTTTGGTTTGGGGCACATTTGGGACGCTTCAAATCAGACTGACATTCAGAGGGCAGGAGTTTCATACAAAGTCAGTGCTCTGGCACCCAGGAACCAGAGCACTCCATGTTTTATTTCTGGTGGTAGGCCCATTAGTTATATATCAAACAATTAGAAAGCATAGCTCTGAGGAACTCCTCATTTGAGATCCTTATATATAAATTTATATTAGCAGAAGTTATAAAGCATTTTTAAGAACCCTCTTCATGAAAAATGCAGTGCAAATGTACCTCTTCACTATTAACAGAAGTTTCAAGTCACATTTCTCAGATGAGAAGAACAAGGCTGTAGGAGGAATGGATGTGATAATGGGTCTCTTGCTATTTGGAGATTTATAAGGAGAGAACACCAGGGCTGCAAACAATATGGATATTGACATGACTTGAAGCACTGATTTAAAAATCCAGGCTGAAGAGAATCACCAAGGGAGGAACTTCTCCATAGCCCCTCTCTCGCAACTGAAACCTGTCCAGTCAACTGTCAACGGCCATTTAAATTTCTGCTGCTGTGAAACAGACCCAAGTGCAAACATATGTAAATAGGCATTTTCACTGGTGTGTATCTTGTCAAGAAGAGAGACTCTGGCTTCAATTCATTTTCTACACCTTTTAAAGAGAAAACAACTCACAGTTCTTTACCCTTGCTATTTTATTGATGCCAACAAAGGTTCTGCTCTAGCAACCATCTAATCTCATATCCTCCTGTAACATTAATTCCTGGATCCTTCCCTGCTGATGCCTTTGATGATCTGCTCACAGCCCATGGCTTCCCCTTGAGCAGCAGGTTGGGATGTCTGCTGCTCCAGCCAGGGACGGAGAGGCAGGCTGGGTAGAACCCAGCTCACCAACCTGACCCCAGAGCACAGTCCCTGCACCTCAGGTGGCAGAGGGACCTCCAGCAGGGGCAGAATCTGTTCCTTCTCTGAGTCTCACCAATGACAATGCAGAGGAGGATGTGAGAGCTGCTGGACCCAACAACATCCTCAGACCTGCATCTGCTGATGTGACAAATTATCCTGCAGATGTGATTTATTAACAAGCACCTAAAGTGCAGATTTATTCCCAAGGGTGAAGCACTTGGTCCAGCAGTTATTTATTCCTCACAAACTGAAAGCACTATTGCTAAATACCTATTTTCACCCAGCAGAAAGCATTAATCTGACCTAATGGAAAGTCATTAGCATGCTGTAAAGGCTCAGGCTTTTACGGGCCTGCTTTTGTTATGGACTTTTGCAGCTCTACAGATACTAATCTATATACATTGGTGGTGAAAATTAGCAGTATAATATTTAATTTCACTCTCAGATAGGGACTTTCAATAGTACTTAGTGATAGAAATCAACATTAAAACTGAACTTACCTGTAGATGTTTAAAATTAAATCAATACAGAATCACATCCCATTTTTACTCCAGCCTAGCAAACCAATATTGTTAAATCTCCATCCACTAACAAAATAAAAATCCCCAAGCCTCACAACTCCTACTGCAGTGAATTCTTAACAAAACTTAATACTTAGGAAGCACATTCCTTCAGGACTGTATTAATGTCTCACTTGCTGCTGGAATATTCTGGTACTGCACGGCAAACAAGAAGTCCATATTGTCCAGGAACAAGTTACAGTGATATGTTACACTATTTCCCAACAAGCAAAGTATGCAATCAGATTCATAGAATGTGTACAAAAGATTTTGTGTCATTTGACTTCACTGTCATCTCTCTGGTATCTGTCTGTTGTCTCACTCCTACTGCTCTTATTCTAATAATTCTTCTTACAAATAGTTCTGCATTCCTACCAATACATGTGGAGAGATCGGTTCTTTGGGTTCATATTATTGTTATATAATACTATCTAGTCTCTTAGGTAGAGATTGAGGAACCCTAAAGGCCAAAAGGGATCCATCCCTCAGAGGTGGAACAGCTTCAACTGTTTCTGTAGTGCAGAAGGAAAGAAACTGCAAATGCAGAGAAATAAAAAAAAGAAAAAAAAAAGTTGGAGTTTTAAAAAATGCATATTTAGTCACTGAAGTTAGTGATCTTCTCATGCAAATTAAATCTTCAGCTTAGGGACATGCCACTACTTTTTAATAACCTGGTTAAGGATACAAATGTGCTGCCATGTAGCAGAATCGATGGGCTGTGGTTGAGGTGACCAGCTACAAAACGTAAGTAAGAAACAGAAACCTTTGCAAGAGAGCCCATGGATTGAGATGCTTTTTATTCCCCGAGGAACAAGGGGTAGTGGATGTATTTGTGGAACCCAGCCCTGCCTGCTGCCTGGC